CGTGTCCGCAAATCACTTGAAGTACCCGCAACATTTAGACAGTTTTTTGACGTAAGACAAATACACGATCTAAAAAAGTTAATCAAAGAACTTCATTAGTGTACTTAACTGAAACGTCAAAAACTTAATTAAATGCCGATAAATTAGCGAACAATACGATATAGTTGAGTAAGCATGAAATTTATTTAGCTTTATTAGCAATATACACGTTTTTCAGGGACCTATTTTTCAATTTATTACGCTTCTCCCTTTCACGACGAAAAAAGCTTGTGGTTTTCCATTTTAAATAAAGGTACAGTATCAATTGCTGTTAATTATTGATATTTAAGATGTAGGCAGTCTACCACATCATCTTACAGTTAGTCCGATCGTAATAGCGTAATTCTTTCCCAGCGTCTTTGGAGAAGCAAAAAGCTGTGACGTTTTGTAAACATACAGGTACGTTGTGAACTAAATAAGCGGTCAAGCATGTAAAATAAAAGTGACCATTTAATAAATCCAAATATCTACCGATCTCGAATGCAAAATTACGACTTTTGCTAGCGTTCGTTTATCAATTATTCCTAGATACTATCGGTGCTTAAAATTCGGACAGGTGAACGGCACTTATACTAATTGATATATAAATTCACAAGTTCTACTTCAATATTTTCTACAAATTACTACGAGTATTTTACGAGTGGGTATTAATTAGAGCATCCGCAACTAAAAGTATAAGCACGTCGGTTTAATCTTTTTTAAGGAAACTGTAATTAATATGACATATGAAGCCCGATTAGTTTAGATATATGAATATGGAAATACATAACATTTTTAGATTTAAAGATTACCAACTTTTTTTATAATTAATGAGATCCTACTGTTTTATAATTACATTACCTATTTTTAAAAATCGTTATGACTCTATTTCTCTTAATCAAGCAGATATCGTGATCTTTTCATTAAAATTGTTAACTTACCGTTTCTAGTTAATTATCTAAATTTAAAATGCTGGCATTCTTCTAATGTCTTATGATATAAATCGGGAATGAGAAGTTCGAGTCACGATATTTGCTCAAAGAAAGATAATCGAATGGGTATCAGTAAGTAACATTTAATTATCTAGTCAGGCGCATAAGAAAATTAGCTGTCACTTCCTGTAAAAATTTAAAAGCTGTCAATTTATACTTCAATCATTAGTACCTTTTTTATTTTACTTGGTCTACTATACTAATACTGGTTTATGAGATCACTGAATCTGCATTCCTTTAATGTCCTCTTTAATACTTTCCATTATCATTATACAGTTTTCATAGATAATTTATAACAGATAAACGTAGAAAATAGGTGTGGTTAATGATAGTGCCGAGGCGCTATAATTTCTATTTTCCATAATTCTATTTGGGGCCATTGAATAACGGTGAATAGGATTTATCAGCTGTCAAAACATTTTATTGCCAATGTCACTAAAATCGTTTTTAAGTAGTTCGTGGCATTATAAACGTGATTAATGTTGGTAATCTTTTGTTGACAATGTTTCCCTTTGAATGGCCCAGAAGGCAATTTCAGGACGAAATTGCGCTACATAGAATCAACTCAACCTAAATGAAGTACTAATCCGTACTGTTGGATCCGAGTTTTCGTCGTTATTTGACAAACTTGACGTTTACGCGTTGAGTGAATTTTACGGTAATAAGTATTATACCACACTACGTTCCTGCGATATTGAATATCAGGAATTAAGCTCAAATAGAGAACGTTAAACTTTGCACCAATAGAAAGTGAGTTACTGCAAAATTCAAATTGGCCAGGTAGTCGCCAATTTTTTTTTTCAGTGATAAAGGCTTCGACTGTTTTTGGTCTTTCGCCTGATGTACCTCCTTCTAACTTAAATCTTATTGAATATATCAATACTCTTTAAAAATGAAACCAGTCGTTGAATACTGTTCTGATCGTTATGAAGGACTTCTTTCAAGTTTTTGGGCAATCCGTGCGTTTTCCGATCATTCTCGTATTCAGGACAACCCAAAAGAATGTGTTGCACTGTATATGGCTCGCTGCATCTACTACAGTTTTTAATTTCACACCTTCCCAACATATGAAGGTGTGTGATATTGGTATGCCCAATACGTATTCTCGTATACACTACTTCCTCTCTTTTATAAATGATTTTTTCTTGAATATAAATTAGGGAAAAATTAATTAGCACGTTCTACTTCACAAAGTCAGGTTTTTCATGAATTATTCTTTTAAGTACGAAAAGTAGCCGATAGGGATCGTTTTGGAACGTTGCAATGAGATTTTGCACCTTGAAAGGAAGTTATTGCAAAATCAAATTGGCGAGACCGGCTTCACGTAGTCGAGAATGTTCCACAAATGATTTTTTTTCTGGAGTAGGCATTAGGTACCAATAAATACGCTTTTATGCCCTGGGAATTAAACATAATTTATTGCAAAAGTGAAGTTATTGGCACTCACGATCGGGGATTTCTGTGATGAGAGAATCCATAGAATTTTAGGAACTTGAAACCTGTATTTAATATTAACAATCAGCAGAATCTGATGACAAGGAATAATTTTATGAATTTGACTAATTTGAAGAATGATTTCTGGTAATGTGAATAAAGGATTTGAATAATCCGAACAATCTAAAGTAAAATGAATATTTAATAAACTATTTCAAATCAATATAGACAACACGCGACAGACACAGAGGGACGGATAGAATGTTTAAATGACCAAAATTTAATCAGTTGGTCCCTTGACCACTGTGTACCTATTACTGAAAATTCGAAACCGTTTGCGAGTATGTGTACAGACAGGCGAACGGACCAAAGTCATGAAAGAGCTGCGTTGCTCGTTAATAATTTGATATACTGACTAATCTGGGAAGTATGGGAAACAATGCATTGTTGAAGAAACGAAACGATGACGAGGCTAGTGACACTGAAATAGGCAATTTGAAGAATCCGAAGCAACCAAAGAATGAAATGGTCCGCAGAATCCCAAAAACAGTCCGAAGAACTATCTAAAACTAAATAACCGAAAGGATGGGAAGCACACCAAGGAATGGAGAAGCTATTTAATTCATTCTTATTTAAAATTCAATCACAATGTCGAAAATGCCCCCACTCTAGGTAACATTTTTGAGGGCTCTCATCCTCTAAAGTCTAAACATTTATTAGCGAATAATATGTCAAAGGTCTAATGATACATATTTGTCTTCGTTTCCGTTATATAGATATAATACTTCTAATCACTCGGATTTACTGCAGTGTTGGTTTCCGCGAAGAGATGATGAGTAGAATCAAAAACATGCCCGAGGCAACTGAAAAACAGTACTCTAATTCAACAGTATAGATACCTGGTCACGATACAGAAACACAAAAAGAAAATGTTCAAGAGCAACTTTATATGCATAATGTATAATTTCACCAGCACCATTAGGAAATTTAAATTTCCTTTGCAAACGACATGTAAGTATTTACATTAAGAAGACTCGTACATATAATTTACGTTCGCTAAGTACATTTTCAGCACAAAGCATCAGTCCTGAGAAAGGATACGTCGCTTTATTAACGAAACTCTATTATAGTACTTTGTCTAAGGGTCGTTATTAAATGAGTTGAAGTAGCCAAAATTTGAAAAATAAAAAACACCACAATCCATCTCGGTAGATTGGATACTATGCTCTTGGTAGATTACATCCCTAACATATAATTACTAGCGGACAGTAGTTCGATAGCGAGCCGTAATCACAGACTTTGCTCGAGGCTGATCGAACCGGCTACCGTTTTACATTCAGCCAGCCAATTAATACTGCACCATATAACGCGTCCATCTTAAGAGGAGACTTTTGACACGCCAGATCTCCGACGTAAAATTTATATGCGGCGGAGGAAAAATGTGTAATTGGATTTTATGGGAAATGCCATGATATATGGAGATTCTTATCGGCGAGCGTAATTTATCAATGCATTTTACGATATTTTGCTAAGGCGATCTACAAGTTGCAGATTACATGTAAACCATTCACAATTGTATACCATTCGAATGCGTGTACTAAAATCTCGCCCGTCATCGGGTAATTAAAATAAAAGCGTACATAATAGGCAATTAACGATTAAAAACGAAAGCGATCGAGTTAGTATAATCAGCCCGATGGAAGCTTTCAGAAAATAATGATATATTAATACCCAAGAGTGCTACTAGTATGTAAAATAGCTTTATAATCTATATAGAGCGATGTATATTATTTAGCTCGAAGCGAACTACTTTGGTACGTTATTTGTAGGAAGCGCGAGAAATTTATCTTCAACTCGAAGAAAATTATGCATTTACGAAAGACGCGAAGGAATGGTGGCAGAAGTAGAGGATATTAGTGATCCTACGCGGAGTGTGTCTATAATGATATATGCAAGACATTAAGAATGCGCAGAGGCGGTTGCAAGATGGCGAATCGCCCTCGGCAACTGATGGGCTTCCTGAGCAAACTGTAACATGCACTGCTTTTCTTATGGCCTTTCTTATTTGTTTGGCATATACAATACGTGTACTTAATAGTCGGGCATTGCAAGTATAAACGGGGTGACTTTACCTCGAGCCATTTTTTTTAGTAAACAAGCGTAATGACAATAATTAGGGTCGTGGCAGAAGGATATTTCGGAATTTTAAAAACGCTCCCGGTCGCAATTAACAAAAGCGAACTTGTTTTTCAGACACTGACTAAACGATTAACTTTTTTTAAAAACAATTACTTCCTATCTTCCTGTCAAAGCGCTTCATCTCATTTCATTTGTGCTACAATTATAAATAAAAGCAAAAGTTTCTACCAGCCGCGCAGCAAATGTCAGACAAAGTAAATGATAGTCTGGCACAAAATAACAGCCCATATGAGATTGAATCCGCGGTATCTTCGTCCGATCAGAAGCACTAAACACATACTTCACCTTTATATGATGGACTGGTAATTAGATGGTGCGCTTGTCACGCGCCGTTTTACTTATATAATCACAAAATAATCATAGCTTCTGAAGTACACCTTCGACGAATGGAATAATCCAAATAATAATTAGAGGAGATGGACCTGAAGGGTGATTGAAAATCGACTTACCGGTATGTAGGAAGAGGTGGTTCTTTAAGTTTGTATGCTTGGAGAAGCCTCTCGAGCATATGTGGCATTTAAATGGCCAGGATCCCGAGTGGACGTACATGTGTGAACGAAGGTCTCCTGGTGTTGGAAATGATTTGCTGCAAAGGCTGCATTTGTGCGGCTTATCCTGCAAAAAAATCACTGATGTCAGAATAAATAGTTCTGCTTCATTTTCATAGAGCAGCCAAAATTTGTGGAACCTATTACCAAATAGTAATTAAAATGTTTTGTTGAATGGTGCACATTTTGAGCAACACTCGTTTTCTTCCTCGTTTCGAATGGTTGAACATTGGGAAAGGACTGCATAGATTGTTTTTGTTTAATTAGACCAATTTCTATGAGTCATCAGAAGGTGGAAGGAATGTCACTCTTAATAATGTTTCATAATTTACTATTATGCGCTGTTTGGGCGGAATCCGAGGAATTTTCGTTTTCTTTTAAGATTTTGACGATTTTAACCCTGAAGGACCAGTTTTTCGCCAATAACGGTTCAATAAGTTTTCAAAGCAGACCAAATTTGCTATAATTTAAGCTTACCCACATCCGTTTGTATAGGTGTAATAGATTTCTAGATAATGCTTTTCAAAGATTGTCAATTTTTCGAATTCAAAAATCTTTCACAATACTTTATGGGTGACGTTTCTATTCTGTTTTAAGCCGGGTCCACATTTGACGAACGTTGCCATTCGTTCGCGTTGCTGGTCGTTCGTTTGCATTGCTAACCATTTACAAACGCTCGCACGTAGTGATAATGGCAAGGAATGTGCTCGCGATGCACTATGCATTCGTCGCTGTTCGCATTCGTTCCGCGTAATACAAACGAAATTTTAAATGTATATTGTAAACTGGCGAAAGAATCACCACTCGCGAGGAAACGTAACGTTACCGCAAGTCTCACTTCAGCCGGAATAGCTGTTCTCATAAATGTATTTTGTTTTGCAATTTTGGGCTTGATCATTTCCAGAAGTGTACTAAAATCCACACGAGACATTCTGGTGAAGTTCTTAAAAAAAGTATCATTGAGGTCTTTTAATAAATCAGCACCGCCGTATGTGTTTCGACTCAAGTATAAATCGTGTATCCACACACTTCTCTGTGGTCTTTTCTTTCGTCGTTTTATTATGTTGTTTATCAGGACAAACGCCACACTTGCCGCAACCATTTGATTATCACTCATATTTTAACCAATAAACAAAAACACCCTTTCGTCAATACTTTCAACAAACGAATGACCACAAACCTTTTAAAACACGTCCACATTGCAACGTTTGTGAGGATTCGTGGCTCTGCGTTAACGTTTGATCTTTTGAATTTTACCGACAATTGATGGAACGCGTTCGTTCCCATTCGCAATCGTTTGCACTACCAACTTTCAGTTGCGAACTGTCGTCCACACTAGAGAAACGTATGCGAACGAACGACCGGCAACGCGAACGAACGGCAACGTTCGTCAAATGTGGACCCGGCTTTACACAGATGCCAAGAATGGGCGGTATAACGCAGAAAAATAAAACGAATAATGAATTTTGTAAGGTGGTAGTTTCTGTTGCCAACTAAACTGTCGAACAATCATTAGCTGTTAATGTCAAAGATCCAAGAGCGTAATCGTTTGATTTAGTTCTGTTCAGTTCAGTGCTGGATATTTTTACTTTACAATAGGTTGATGCCGTTTTTTATTTTCCCTGATTTTTTGCTGATCTAGAAATGGTGGAGGATGTATTGTGGAGAGTTGTTACACAAGATATTGACAATCCAGCCACAAACCTATCAAGTGAGGAAATGGACGATGCTCAACCGTGCCCGTCCAAGAAGGGAAAATATACTTATATGTAAGTCAAACAAAATTTCTTTTTATAAAATGACTGTTTTGAGAATATCATTTACACCTCTCGTTTTCTTTTATAGAATTACAGAACAACAAAATAGTGCTAACAATTTTCGACTTTGAAAAAATCGATAAACTTTGAAAAGCATTATCTCGTAAACCATTACGTCTATAGAAACGGTTGTAGTCTCAAATTGTAAACAATTTCGTCTACTTTCAAAGCGTATTCATTAGTTATTTTCGACAAACTGGTCCTTCAGGGTTAAAATCGTCAAAATCTGAAAAGACAACGAAAATTCCTCGGTTTTTAGTATATTTGATACTATGTTGCGTTCGCCGCTCGAGGTCGAAAACTTGAATTATACATTGGGTTAACAACATAAGCAATCCTAAAAAAATCAGAACTACCGGATTTTACGCATGGTCTGATGTATATAGTTACTGGACTACACATTTTATAAGAAAATTTTTTTTTCCGGGTCGATCTGAGACAATTTTTTTTGGGGGCTCAAAAAAAGGCAGTGTATAACCTTCCTTTTTTTTACCAAAAATCGACTGCACCAAAATTTCTCGGGAAAACACGTTTTCTTATTAATTTTGGTGCGTAGAATCCAAAACAATTCGTACTTTTTCGATCAGACTTCTCAATCAAAAGTTATAGACTAGAAACCAATTTCGAAAGAAAATTCAAAGGGCTGTAACTTTTGAACTAGTAGCCCAATCTTGGAACTGTTTGAAAATATGGATTCTACAGGCCACATATTAGTATTTTGTGCTTTTTTGGCATAAAACGTTTTATATTGCTATGTGCAATGAAACGGTCACTAAACTACTTACAAGCCAGCTCAATTAAACACAAGTATTAACAAAATCTTTTATACGACAGGATTAAAATTTTTTCTGGGCACGTCCAGCATCCGCTGCTACGAAAGATCTCGATAAGATTTTAATTTTATTAATTTGAGAACCTCAGTAGCCTTGACCAAGTTCACAATTCTAATTATTTACAGATCAACAGATGAAACAAATTTATTAGACAAAATCAATTAAATAAGGCTGAAATAAAAATAGGCACTCAGGGCCAGAATACACATACCACGCTACAAGCGATCTATTGAAACAATTAACTAAAGAAATCTTAATTGTGTTAAAGTGCTTAAATCCAAAATATCTGGTCAATTGAGATTTTCAAGAAACAGAACGTATGAACAGACACAAACACCAACTGATGTTGCTTCTGAAACTTCACTTTGTGATTGCACTTAAATCTCGATTTAAATGACACTGAGTTCGTTTGAATTACAGATGTCCACCACCAAAAAAGCAAAGATTCACGTCTTGCTTTGCTATTTAAAATAAAGTCTCTTTCTTTTCAACTTTCCGAGCCATCTCCTTCTTATCAAATTATTGCGTCCTCGAAAAAACTCACACCTGTCTACTTCATACGTCATATTAGACCATTTTGTTTGATTTTTTATAAGCTATATTTGTGCTAAGAATACTTTTTTCGATACAATACTTACTTTTAGAGTTATTTGCGAAAAACCGTCTGAAAACGTGGTTTTTTTAATTGAAAAATGAACATTTTCTGCATGATGCAATGATGCGGCAAGGAAGTACTTCTTCAATAACCATAATCTAATAACTTGTCAGAAAGTCATGCGCCCTTAATGTTATCTTAGTTAATATTCGCGATAGGTTTCTTCTATCGTTAACGATTTTTCAAAATTGAATAAAATGAATTAAAATGTGTGTTGCTACACAATCGAGATGGTTTGTTTCAGCATATTGTAAACATAGAAGTATCTGCATTTTTTTTACAATTGTAACTGTCAGCCGATTATCGATTGCCGGATACAAATGATCGATTTAAAAGGAAAATCTAAAGCTAATCGATGCACGCAGAAAATTAATTACACACAAGTGCAACTTCATCCATCACTTAATTGTAAAAGGAAATCGCCGAATTTTTTTTCTCGAACCGCGCTAATAAGAGAACCCGACTTCCTTGTTTTACCTCCGAAACTTTACAATTGAATTAGTCACACTGCATTTATAACCGGTCCCACCTTTAGATATATTCATTAGCAGCTCGAATTTGTCTCCTTTGATTATTATTAAAATAGGCGTTTTGTAAGGAAGGCTGAACTAATTTGTGTTTGTAAAAATGTCAAAACTCCCGAATGAAAAATGTTCCAGGATGGGTAAAGTCCTGTGTTATTTAATTTCTCATCCGAACAGGTATAAAGATTACGTTGTTTAAATGAATGGTTTTCGTTTGGTCATAAATTTGTTTTTACAATTTCTTTATGGATAACTCTATTAATCTATTGTTGATCTCCGCGATTACCTTATGAAGAAAAAGAGAGTCGTATTGAGTTATTTGACGCTAAACAGGTCTTTGACAATTTTTCATGTAAAAATTTGTCACCTTAAATTGGTAGTCATGTATGGTACTGTAAGTTACATGGGAATGGTATGCTAAATTTTGTTTAAAAAAATTATTCCACGTAATTCTAATGATTTATAGACAGTTTTACATGTTTTCAATTTTTTTACAAGATCAATCTATTGCATTCGAATGGCATACAAAATTTCATGACATAAAAAGCCTAAAATACCGATTTAGTGTCTTTAAAGATATTTTGAGCAATTAATTATATTCAATTTATTTCCAAAAGAGAATGCTTAGATAAAATACGTTATTAAAGAATAATTCCCAACAAAATTGATCGGTTGAAAGGGGTAAGTAAAGATTTTTTCATTGGGTGGATGTTGAAAAAGACGCATCCAATCCTCAGCTTTGTGATATTTTTGCATTTCATAAAAAAATACAATTTAGAGTCATCGATAAAACTTCAGATACATACAAATACACAGCTATCCAAACCCAGAAAACGTATAATACGTAGGAAATTGATAGCTGTCACAATCTGTGCATTATATGGCAGCACGTACCTTTTGATATCGTGGAGATTTCGAATTTTGGTTCAATTAAGTACCTATTAATAAAATTGCTCTTATTTCTTTCTCCCAATCGTCCGATCGCTCGCACGCTGGATGATTTCATATCCATAGATCTAAAAAAGAAGAGTAAGTCGGAAGTGGGTACCAATAAAGAGAATGTGGTAGTCCCCGAACCCCCAACAAGATTAATAATGGCGGAGTCAAAACTTCAAACGCGAATTGTGGGTGAACGGGACGCCGGAAATGGGTACCGAAAAAGGGAATATGGTAGCTCCCAACAGATCTTGCTGATGGTGGAGTCAAAACTTCAAGTGTGCATTGCGGGTGAAATGGAA